GCGGGGGGCTCAGCAGCGCCCCGTCGTGCTCGGAGGCCGGAGCTTCGGCTCGGTCCTTCATCGGTGGCCGAGCCACAGTCTGTGTTTGCGGCTGTCTGTGTCTGCCTCTCCCTCCCTCTGCTCTCTCTCTTTCTCTCTCTCTCTCTCTCTTTCTCCATCTCTCTCTCTCTCTCTCTCTTTATCTCCCTCTATCTCTTCCTTTATCTCTCTCTCTCTCTTTCTGTTTGCAGGTGTGTACATATAACTACTATCTTAAGGATCGTCGCTCCCCCTCTGAGAAACTGGGCCCCTGCGCGGCCCCAGTGGCTCCGGCCCCGTCTGTCGCCGCACCAGGCTTCCAAGCTGAAGGCCCGCTTGCGGGCGCGGCCGCCCCGTTCTCGTTCTGCGCCGCCGCCACGTGGCACTGCAATCGCACTGCAATCGCACTGCAATAGCAGCGCATCGGTTTGCAATCGCCGCCTTGCTGCGCGATCGGCTTGCGTGGTGCTCGCACTCCTCTGCGCTGTTTACCCTGATGTTGCATTGCTTGGCATTGTGTTTTGCGCCGCGTTGCTTTGCTTTGAACTGCTTTGCGCTGCTTCGCATGGCTTTGCAGATTGCTTTACGTTACCTTGCATTGCCTTGCATTGTGTTGCGTTGTTTTGCATTGCGCTGCACTGTTTTGCATTGCGTTGTATTGCTGTGCGTCGTTCTGCATTGGTTTGCAAAACACAGGTTGCACCACAATCATTGCACCACTGGATTGTACCACCTGGATTGCACCGCATGTACTGCAAGGCATCATTGTTTGGGGCTCACGCTGGCGAATTCATAGTGTATGTAGTTGTGTAATTATGTATGTAAACACATTTGCATGCACATGTGTATACACCTGCACATCGGGCGCTTCAGTGAAAAGGGGTATCCCTGGAGGCTGGGCCGTGTCAGAAGGTGAAGGTTAACTTCGCTCTGCAAGATGTGTGCTCGATCTTCCGTAATCATGGCTGCTCCAGTCTTGTCAAGATAAGATACCTTTTTTTATTGATTGTGGCGCCCCCTTCTCGCCGCGATCACGGGCCTCTGGTTGGCACCGTCTCCGCTGCGCCTCTGGAACGGGTGCCCTGAGTGCACGCGCAGCCCATCGCCGCCGCCGCTGGGGGCCTACAGCCTCATTCGCGGTCGTGGAGGAGTTCTGGGACGTCAGGACAGAGCAGGGCGCCCGAGGACGAGAGACTGTATGGACGCCCCCGCCGAGTCTACAGTCGGGGTCCTTTCGGTACGTGGAGGTGGCCGCCGCGCTCGTCGGGAGCCTTTGGTTTCTGCCAAGAGTGGGTTCGCAGCCGCGCCGGCTGCCAGAGATCATTCCAGAATGTTGCTTGCACAATGTTATATGGGAGCTGGTGTGGTAAGCAGCTTTGGCAGAGATGGGATTCTTCATGACGCCGTTCCTTTTCCTCGATCGGGAACCTGTCGTGGATTGAAGTAACCATCAGGCGTGGACCTACCCCATCGTCAGGGCGCTCAAGTTTACCATTCTCTACCTGAACGTGGAGACCGGGTGTCTGTGCCCAGTGCTGGTTTGCTGCCAGGATGGTTGCCGCCAAGCTGGTGTTGCACGGGGGCTGGAGCGTGTTGCCGCGATCCGCGGGTGGGCCCCGCCCGTGGCAAGAGGTGCGCCTGTTGAGAAGTTGCTCGGGGTCGACATACAACACGGTGCACGGCGAGAGTCCGCCGCCAAACCACTGAGTGTTTACTGGCGTCTGGTGGATGATGGCGGCGGACGGCGACGTGTACCCCCAGGATTTCTCCGCGCTGGGCAACCTTCAGGTTCTCGGGGTGTGCGGCTCGGAGGGCGGCGTCACGGGCCCGCTCTGCGGGCGTAGGTCCGACGTCGTGGCCCGCCACAGTTTCCGCGCTGGCCGAACTGACGGGCCCGTCGACGTCCCGCGCGTTTTTGCTGGTCGCGCCGTCGCCGATGCCGAGGGGCACATGCAGGGTGGAGGCGATGACGGGCTTTCTGTTAAGGCTCCAGCCGTCGGCGCATGACAGGGAGATTTGGAGGATCGGGTGCCCGTCGGCCACCGCCGTTTCTTGTGGCGCAGAGTCTCGTCCCGATGCTGCTCACATGTTCACCCTCGTGAAAGTGGGGGCTGGACTGCTATGATGGTGGAGACGGCCAACCAGGCGGCGCAGTGCTAAGTGACCTCCGCCGACGACGTAACCGAAGATGCCGACTCTCGTATGTTGCTTTCGATTTGGATGTGGGATGCCTGGCGTCGTCGCTCCATGGAGGCCGTCGACCAAATTGTCTACCACGACTGCGACAACGCCCCACTGGGGGTCGAGGCCTCCATCACGTTGCACATCGAGGATATCGCCCGCAGCGTGGAGGGTGGTCCTGTCCAGCAGCACTGCGAATGGGCTCATCAGGTGAAAGCGGGCGGCGGCCACTCAGTGCGCGAAAATTTCTGCATCGTGAAGGCGCTCGCGTTGGCTGCCGAGGTGGATCATTGGCTGCCGACGTGGATTCATTGAAAATCCCACACGCTCGTTTCCCTGCAGGCCCGTGGATGCCCCGCCATGCTGATCGGCCCAGCGCACCTCAACTCTCTAGGGCGCCCTGATTACACCGAGAGCGACGACTTCGCGGGGCGGAGGCCCGGCCGCGGCAAGGCGCCCGCGGCCCCAATTCTGGTCGGGCACGTCGCCGACATGGCTCGGGGCAAAGCGTCGGCCCACATGGGGCTGCGTCTGAGGAAGCCGCCGTGGGGCCCCGCGAGAGAGGGCCAGGGCGGCGACGACCAATGCCGGATGAGCACGGCCCCCTTCAAGTGCTCAACCGGGGGGCGAGCGCGGGCGAGATCGAGGGCCCCCCGTCGCCCGCGCTGTTGGGCCCCTCATCGGGCATCACGGCCGAGATTCGCAGCGCCCCTTTCTTTGCCCCGCGTTTTTCGGGTGCACCCTGCCGGACTGCGCCTCGCCCGGCTTGGGGGTCCGTCAGCGGGCGCGGGGTCACCGACTCCTCGCAGCGCAGGTGGGCCTGCGCATCCGGGCCCTCGATTGGTCCGCGAGCCCCTCCGCCGCCAACGCCGAGTTCCTGTCCGCGGGCCAGGAGGCCACGGTGGGCCACCCCCATCCACATTTTGGGCGATGACTTGACAGCGGCGCCCGCCGACCGCGCCCTGGCGCCCGCCCGACGCGCCCCCGCCCCATCTGGCCGAGGCGGCGCCGCCAGACGGCGCGCAGACGAATGTAAAGTTTGACAACTGCGCGCCGATGGACGACAACCAATGCGGGTCGGAGGTCGAGCGCGGCCCGGAGCGCATTGGGCCCAAAATTCGGACCCTCGGCCCCGCTTCGGCCGACGCATCTACATAAACCGCTCAGACGCGGGCCCCTCGCCCGGCGGCGGGCCGACCACGCGCGAGGCGGGGTCCGCGCATTTTCAATCGGGGGCCAAGCAGCGCCCAGCAGCGGACAGCCCGCGCCACTGCCCGATTCCGAGAGCCCCCACGCGCACAGATGGGATCTGGAAGTCTTTGGGCCGAGGTCGCGATGGACGCGTACTCTGGCGCGCATCTCTCTCTTGAACTGACGCGCGAGACTATGTCTGCGCGGGTGGGCTGCTTCCCAGGCACGGGCGCATCTACTTCGGTCATTTCGACGGGGTGGGCCAGGGGCATCTCCATCGCGCGGGCGCTGCGCGCCCGCCAGGTCAGCGCGCCCCGCAGCTGGCCGCCCCCACCTCGGCGCGGGGCCTGAGCCGCCCCCGCCCCGCCGCGAGAACTTCGGCGGCGGCCTCAACGAGGGCCGGGCCGAAGTCCTCCGCCGGGAGCGCAAGGAGAGGACGGTCGCGCAGGGGGCTCAAGGTCCACGAGGAGGAGGCCGCTCGTCGCTGGCCCGAGTCGCCAGGCTTCGCCATCGACGGTCTCCCTGGATGGCACAGGCCCTCGCCCGCCAAGGCGCGGCGGCCCCTCCGTCGGCGGGTTGCCCGCCAACGGCTTCGTTTCGCGGGGGGGGGGGGGTTCTGCGGCGTCTCCCAGGGCGCGCCACCCCCCTCGCTCACAGGCGCAGGCCCTTGCTCGCCATCCCCCGCAGCTGCCGCGCGTTTGCGCGGCGCTACTACTTCCGCCCCTGGAGACCAAGGGCGCCGCGCGTTGGCCCTCGCGACAGGCGGCGCGGCCGCCGCGACGCGGGCTTCCTCGGTGGCCGACCGCCAGAGGCGCCGAGGTCCAACGCGCGGCGCCCACGGTCGCCAGAGGCGGAAGTCTTCGACGCCAGCCCCGCCGGGCCCGATATCGCGTCGCCATTCCGTCCAGCCGACGCGGCCGCGGAGGTCGGGGGGCGGGCGATCGCTGGCGCCGCGCGTTCCAGAGCGACCAGCCCGCCTCGCGGCTGGGCCCGGAGGCGCCGGGCGCCCGCCCATTCTTTTCCCGAGGTCCCCCCGTCTATTCTTCAGGATTTCGAATAGCGGGGGCGGGCCGCGCGCCCAGGGCGAGACGAGGAGCGCCGCGATGGTCGAGGGGCGGACTGGCTTCACCTCCGTCCGGCGCGCGCGCCAGCCGCCGCCCAACCGAGGCAAGCTGCGCTTCAATGGGGGGCAACCTTGGCATGACTTTCGCTATCCAATGGCCGCGTCAACAATTTTGGGCCCATGCTGTTGCGCCGAAACAAATTGCCTCGACAGCGGCGATGGACATGGCCATGCGATGGCGGCGAGCCCAGTCCGAGATCAGCATTGCCGATGCCGCAACCCGTCGCCGTCTTGATTGCGAACGCCCACCTCCGCCGCGAGTGGGATTTCCCCCGCTCAAAGCATCGGCGGGGGAGGCGCGGCGCCGGCCCTGGGCTCGGGGCCGCGGCCGATGGGGCCCGCGGCCCGGCCGCGTCGGGCGCGGGCTCGACGAGGCGCCCAGGGCCGTCAGCCAGCCGCCCGGCCAGGGCCCGTCGCGCCGCAGTCAGCCGGGCGCCGCAGGCCCTTCAGCGTCTGGCGCCCCCCCCCCCACCCCCCCGGAAGGAGG